TACTTACATGAGCTTTAGGTTTAAATAGAGGAAGCATTGGGGCAAAGGATGAGAGGCATGCATAATTGGTCAAATGGTGGTCTGGTTGATTGTTATATCAGTTCTAGTTCTGCAAGGTGGCTCTGGAGAAGTCATTGCCTGAGGGGACAATCTCCACTTCCTGTTCAGGATGCTTACCTCTCACACCTGTGATCCTGGAAGAGAACGGCAACTAGAGGGGGCTGAACTAGAGGTTGAGTCAGGACAGAGTTATGCAAGTTCATGCCAGTTTTTCCTTGTGCTTGCACATTGTCCTTTTATGTTCTAATCATGATACATCACATGTCTGGCTAGCGTCTTCAATCTCCATCCAGGGTGGTATGCATCTTACTGTTGTAATGAGGCTAGGGTTGTTTCTCACTCACCAAAGTCTTTAATGCACATGCTCCCTACAGGAGTGTTTCCTCCAGATATCTTGTGATTGTCCTGCAGGTTTGCTTTTTCATTAGCCAATCAGGAAACTGCAGATAAGAACAAGGCAGGGAGGTAACACAGAGTGGGTTGCTCAGGAGTTGTTTCTGTGTTCCCATGATTTATGGGCATTTCTCTTTTGAAATTGGGTGTTCTCTGTGTATCCCTAAATTCCTGGCTCATCATGAGGTGATTGTTCTTGCTTGGAGGGCAGTCTCTTCCTGGGTTGATTTGCCTTCAAGGTTCTGCTATTCCTGAAAGGTGTAGGGCAATGGCTGGAGATATCTAGGTGTACATCACTCTTCGAGTGTGCATTATAAAAGCTGTAAGTTGAATGTCTCTGGGTCATGGGAGAAAACATATCTCTGAAGAAAGGTACAAGGAGTTCCCAGAGAGAAGAGGACCTTGACTCAGGACCAGTGGAGTTCTTGGCAATATGTGACAAAAAAATACAGCACAAGCCAAAGGGATAGACAGGTTTATTTAGGAAAGTAGATACATATTCAAAGACTGGGACAGAAATGCCTTTAGGGTAAGCAAGGAATACACACTCAAAGGCAAATGTGGGCTCTCTGTAGAGGAAGACACCGCAATCCCTTGGTGTTAATATTTATAGATGACTGGTGCTAGGGGCTGGATTTGAAATAGACCCAGGGTAGAATTATATAATTCCTGCTAGTTTTACCTGTGCTGTGCATTGCCCTCATGTTGCAAGGATTTGGGTCAAGGATGCAGTTCAAGGGTATGGACCAAGGGCATGTTGCTCAGGAGTGGCAATTGTTTGTGGTGCTTTCTGCACTTCAGTGGTTTACAGGCACTTCCTTTGAGACTCAGTATCTTTTCCTTAATTCCCAAATTCCTATCTCACCTGCAAATCTTGAAAATACTCTTATCTTGGTTTTCTTGAGCTTTGAAGGTGTGGATTACCAGCTTTAGATAAACAAATGATTCATCAAGATATGCCAATGTACAAAATTGAGTGGAAATATGATCCAAACATTAAGGTAATAAAGGAGACAGATACAAAATGAAGGCAGAGATGCCAAGCTTTATCCTGCTTTTAGTTACCCATTGGGTATCTGCAGGCCCAAATGAAGAGTCAGTGTTTCTACCAAAAGCAGCTTCTAATTCTATTATAAAGTCACCTCCCATTCCCTTCCAATCACACCCCTCTCACCCATCCTTGGGAATATCTAATCTACTTCTAACCTACTTTCTATCTTTATGGATTTTCCTATTCTAAACATTTCACATACAACATAATATACAATCTATAGCCTTTTGTTTCTGGACTCTCTCTTTCTTGAATGGTACCAGGGATGGAACTCAGGGGGCACTTAACCACTGAGCCACATCCCCAGCTCTTTTTATTTTGAGATATGGTCTCACTAAGTTGCTTAGGGCCTCACCAAATTTCTGAGGCTGACTTTGCACTTGCAATCCTCCTGCCTCAGTCTCCCCGGCCACTGTGATGACAGGCATGTGCCACGGTGCCCAGCTTGTTGCCAGCATAAAATTTTCAAGAATAATACAACTTGTAACATTAATCCTTTCAATTTTCTTGAGTAGTACTAGCAATAGAATTGCTAGGTCATATAGTAACTGTATATTTAATATCTCCAGGAACTGCCGGGCAGTTTTCCACAGGAGCAGCAGCACCATTTTACATTCCTATCAGCAGTGTCTGAGTGTTCCAGTTTCTGCATATCCCACCAACACTTGTTATCTTTTCATTACAACCTCTAGTGGATGTGAAGGGTGTCTTTGGGTGCAGTCTTGATTTGCATTTCTCCTGTGACTAGTAATGCTGAGCATTCCTCCTTGTGCTTATTGGCCATTTGTGTATCCTTTTTGGTGAAATGTCAGTTCAGATCCTTTGCCTACTTTTAAATTGGTACTTGTCTCCTTATTATTGATTTGTAAGGATTATGTATTTTAAATACAAATGCCTTATCAGTTGTGTGCTTTTCAACTATTTCCTCCCATCGTGTGGGTTGTCTTTTTATTTTCTTGATGATGTTCATTGAAATGAAAAAGTTTCAATTTTGATGGCATGATCTATTTTTTTATTTGTTGCTTAGGTTTTTGTGTCATATGGAAGAATGCTTTGCCTAAGCCAAGGTCGCTGAGATTTATTCCTGTATTTTTCTTCTAAGATATTTATAACTTAAGACTTTATATTTAGGTCTTGCTTCATTTCTAGTTAATTTTTGTGTATGATGTAAAAGAAGGAGTTCTTGACACTCTCAAAGCTACAATAATTGATGTTTGGTGACAGCACATGAGGGAAGAGTGAATAATTTATTGATTGATTTATTCTTGGTTTGAACTACATTTTCCAGGGGGCTGTCCTCAACTTTTGTCTTCTTTCTGTCTCCTTTTAAATATTTTTTGGCTGTTGTGTGTTACAGTTATAATGGCTTTTAACACATCTTGATTCACTGTTTGCACATATTTATAGTGGTAACCCCTACATAAGCATTATAAGCCAAGATCAAAATGGTCACATCCTAAACAATGAGATTAAAACTTTGAAGGGATATTGTGAATTTTATATCTGGTCTTCAACCCCATTTCCTGGCATATTCCTAAAATATCTTGGAGTCTCTGAAGTGTTAGTATCTTTTTGTATGCTAATGAGTTCACTGAGGGCAGCCTCAGGATGGGATGGGCCCAGGAAAGAGCCTACCCCCCACAACCTTCAGGGAAGGTGGAGAGTGATGGTTAAATCCATCACTAGAGGCCAGTGATCTACTCCTTTATGCCTATGTAATGAAGTCTCCATAAAACCCCCAAAAGGATGGGGTTTGGAGAGCCTCCAGACACTGAATATGTGGAACTTTCTGGAGGGTGGTACATCCAGACAGGGCATGGAAGCTCTGCATACCTTCCCATTGCCCTGCCCAAAGCATCTAGATCAGCATCCTTGATAATAAACCAGGAAATGTACATATGTGTTTCCTGAGTTCTGTGAGCCTCTCTGGCAAATTAATGGAACCCAAGGAGGGGGTTGTGAGAATCACCGTGTATAGCCAGTTGCCAGAAGCACACATAAAACACCCTGGGTTTTCAGGTTGGCATCTACAGTGGGTGCAGGATGACAGTCTTGGGACTAAGTTCTCAAGCTATGAGGTCTGACATTATCTTCAGGTAGGTAATTTCAAAATAGAATTCAATTGGAGGACAACCAGTAAGGCCCACTGCTGCAGAGCTGCTTGCTTGCTGGTAGGAGAAACGTCTCTGCCTTCTGGGGTCACAGAAGTCTTCTGTGTTGACTGTTTTGGTGTGAGAACAGAGGAAAACCACATTTTTTTTTTCTACAGAATCTAATTCTATGTTATTCTGTACTTGATCATAGTTCTTTCTCTTAAGTATTCTACTCCCTCATTCCTAGCTTTCATACTTTTTTTGGTTTATTTCCTCTTCTTATTCAAGACATCTCAAGGACCATCTGTTTCAGTTATCTTTCCATGACATGGCCTGGCCGGGTTCAGTGCCCACCATTTTCTTCCTGTAGCACCCTGGGTTACCCTTGTAAATACTTTTTTTATTGTACCTAAAAAAAGTATGTTGTAGTCGCCTGTTAATGTCTGTCTTGCTTGCAAGGCTTTTCAGTCCTCAAGGCAGGAACCTTGTCTTATTCATCTTTGTGACCTCAGTGCCTAGCATAGTCCTTCATAAGTAATAGTCTCCATAAATAGTTGATGACATGTGCTAATTTGAATTCCTTGTAATATTTCTTCTAGGAAATTTTTTAGGGTATAAGTGAAGACTTATACATACTTGGAGCTTTCAGGTGCTTGACTTTTGGCATTTGAAGTCATAGAAAATCTAAAATTAAAAAATTTAATATCTTAGGTGCATATAACAGGAAAATACATACCCATAATATTCTCATGTGTGCTACTCAAAGTGACTGTAGTATGTTAAACTTCCATGCCATAGCCAAATTGTTCTGTGAGTATTAAAAGATTAATTCTTGTATAATGCAGTGAGGGGTCATGAAGCCCATTAAGTAATAATAATCCAGGCTGGGTACAGTGGTGCACACCTGTAAACATAGAGACTGAGGAGGCTGAGGAGGCTGAGGCAGGAGGATTGCAAGTTGGAGACCAGCCTGGCAACTTAGTGAAACTCTGTCTCAAAATAAAAAATAGGGGCTAGGGTTGTAGCTCAGAGGCAGAGCGCTTGCCTAGCATGTGTGAGGCACTAGGTTCAATCCTTAGCACTAAATAAAAATGAAACAAATAAAATAAAGGCATGCTGTCCATCTACAACTACAAAAAATAAAAAAAATTAAAATAAAAGGGCTAGTGATGTAGCTCAGTGATAAAGTGCCCCTGGATAGATTCCCAGTACTGTGATGATGATGATGATGATGATGATGATGATGATGATGTTGATGATGATAATGATGATGATATAGTAGTAATATTCCCTTTTTGCTTTATTTTCAAAATTAGTCTGGTTTGGATATGTTGAGTGAAGGTGCTCAATGTTGTCTTAAGTGTTGATTTGGCAGTCTAATGTATTCCTTTTACTTGTGCAGAATGTTTCAGACATTTAAGGAATGGTTCTGGCTGGAACGGTTCTGGCTTCCTCCAACGATACAGTGGTCAGATCTTGAAGATCATGATGGACTCGTCTTTGTCAAACCTTCTCATTTGTATATGACAATCCCATATGCTTTTCTTTTGCTGATCATCAGACATTTCTTTGAAAAGTAAGTAGCACTTGTATCTTCCCTTCATTCCTCTTCCTTGCTCCAACCCTAGATAATAAAGTATTAGATTTGGTGAGGTCCTTAATGAATCTCTTATTTGGAGATTGCCACTTATGGGCTGAAGACTCTTAGAGGGAGTTTGTGCCATCAGGTACACACCAAACAAAACTTAGAGGCTGACCAAGAAAAACTGAGGAATGTGGATACCACTGTGTGAGATCAAGATAGGTTAAGAGTGAATGGATGTGATCATCACACATTGTAAGCATGTATGGAAATATCACAGTGAATCCCATTGATTTATACAATTAATACATGTTAATAGTAATACTAATAAAAGGTTAAAGATCCCAGAGTTTATTAGTATCAATGACATATGAACCCAGTTTATCTTCCACTGAGTGGGGATTTCTGACAATACATGTACTTTCTCAGAGAGACAAGGTAAGAACAGTCTGTGACTCAGAGATGAGCTGTCATTGTAAAATGTCAGTAAAATAACAGAAATGGCTTATTAAAGACTAAACCACATATTGCTGCATAGTATCACTTATTTTAAAGATTTATTTAAAGGTTTTATAGCTGCACTTCATCTTAAATTATAAGGAAATCAAAGAAAAAAATCAATTTACTTTCTCAGAAAGTAGTAATCTTTTTCTTTTTGTTGATTTAATTTAAATAGATATTTCTTCTAAAATTTTTTTCTTAAGAGAGAGAATTTTTTAATATTTATTTTTCAGTTTTCAGTGGACACAACATCTTTATTTTATTTTTATGTGGTGCTGGGGATCGAACCCAGCACCCCATGCATGCCAGGCGAGCGTGTTACCACTTGAGCCACATCCCCAGCCCTCTTCTAAACTTTTAATTAAACTTGTACTTGTGTTCTGATAAGAAGAGATAAATGTCCATTTCTAATCTCTGTAGTTGTCTCTGTTTCAAAAAACTGTCATTAGTACATTAATTTATTTGCAACAAAAATAATACTTGTATCTCTTTTTTATGATCTTGACATATCATATTTCATACATTAGATTCAAGTGGGTTATGAACTCCCATTTTTACCCCAAATACAGATTGCAGAATCACATCGATTACACATCCACATTTTTACATAATGCCATATTAGTGACTGTTGTATTCTGCTACCTTTCCTATCCTCAACTATCCCCCCTCCCCTCCCCTCCCATCTTTTCTCTCTACCCCATCTACTGTAATTCATTTCTCTCCTTGTTTATTTTCCCATTCCCCTCACAACCTCTTATATGTAATTTTGTATAACAATGAGGGTCTCCCTCCATTAACATGCAATTTCCCTTTTCTCTCCCTTTCCCTCCCACATCATGTCTCTGTTTAATGTTAATCTTATCCTTCTGCTCTTCCTCCCTGCTCTGTTCTTAGTTGCTCTCATTATATCAAAGAAGACATTTGGCATTTGTTTTTTAGGGATTGGCTAGCTTCACTTAGCATAATCTGCTCTAGTGCCATCCATTTCCCTGCAAATTCCATGATTTTGTCATTTTTTAGTGCTGTGTAATACTCCATGGTGTATAAATGCCACATTTTTTTTATCCATTCATCTATTGAAGGGCATCTGGGTTGGTTCCACAGTCTAGCAATTGTGAATTGTGCTGCTATGAACATCGATGTGGCAGTATCCCTGTAGTACGCTCTTTTAAGGTCTTCAGGGAATAGTCCGAGAAGGGCAATAGCTGGGTCAAATGGTGGTTCCATTCCCAGCTTTCCCAGGAATCTCCATACTGCTTTCCAAATTGGCCGCACCAATTTGCAGTCCCACCAGCAGTGTACAAGAGTACCCTTTTCCCCACATCCTCACCAGCACTTGTTGTTGTTTGACTTCAGAATGGCTGCCAATCTTACTGGAGTGAGATGGTATCTTAGGGTGGTTTTGATTTGCATTTCTCTGACTGCTAGAGATGGTGAGCATTTTTTCATGTACTTGTTGATTGATTGTATGTCCTCCTCTGAGAAGTGTCTGTTCAGGTCCTTGGCCCATTTGTTGATTGGGTTATTTCAGGACCCACCCGTTGCATACTTGTATCTCAAGAGCTAAAAAACACCTAAGACAAACTCTGATAGTGATCTTGTTGTCTGAGATTAACTAAAATACAGATCATATGTTATAACCATTTGTAGGGTCCTTATCTTGAGAATTAGTTTGACCAACTCTATTTCATAGACTTGCCAAATGCTTTTTTTTTTTTTTTTTCCAAATACAACTTCACTTTGGTCAATGACATGCTGTTGCTATTGGAACAGAAAGCCCCTGAGCTGAGTACCCTTGGCAGAGCATATTTGAAATGTACTTCCTTTTTAGCTGTTAATTCTACTTTTTGCACACATAGTTGGATTTGTCAAAAAATGTATAAACAAATAAAGTAGCATTTGCCCCTGGGCTTAAAATAGAGAATTACTCTTTACTAATCTGAAATACTTGTTTTGATTTGTTTTTTCTTGCATGTATCTGGTGATCTTTGAATTTGGCAGTTGGAATCTATTACTTATCTCCATCTCAGATTTTCCTACTTGTCAGTGGGCAGCTTCATTTTTTAGAGTTTGATAAGGACAGTGAGCTAGAAAATTATTTCGGTTGCTAAAACAGCACAGCTGTGGAGGACCAACTTGTTATGTTTTGGTCTTGGCTACTCCAAGAACAATCAGGAAGAAATTCCTAGGACCATTGTTTTTTCTTCTCAAGGGATTAAGAGTAATTTGTATCTTCTTTTCTATCTCCTTGTGAATTTAACTTCTAATAACTCACCATTAGCTTTTTCCATTCTGTGACATTACAGAAAATTATGTGCCATTCCACCAATCCTATATGTCCCTTTTAGTGCAATAGAAGGAAGAAACATTTAACGTGGGAGAGAGAGACCTCACATTCTAAAGTATAAGTACATTTGTTTCAAGACTTCTATTATCATTTATAACAGATTAATCCATTTACATCATAAATACAATATTGCTTACACCTTGCATTTGACAGGAACTTATAGTTTAAGAGGTATAAAAAATCATAAGTGATGATCTCAGTCTTCAGGTGAGGAAGTGAGAAAAGAGTAGCTTGTTGGGGCTCGCACAGGTAAGTAAGGAGTACATCTAGGACCAGAACTCACAGCTACTATACCAGGTTTAAGTTGGTCAAGTTGGCTTTGGTTTTCTGTTTTCCTACTTCTTGGACTTTCACAATGAAATACTACTGATAGCAGAAGACAGTAAATGAATATCTTTGGGGAACAAAGAAGACATATTTTTAAATAGATGACTGCAAAATATGTGAAATTTTTTGAACTGTCTTAAATTTATAAATTTGACATTGTTTCAGCATATTCTATTATATATTTGTCACAAGAAATCTTCTTTTGTCCTAGACTATACTTCCTAAATCTTCTCACTGTTTGAAGTGACCAGGGGTTTTGATATGGCTGGCTCATTTTTGTCCTTTATTCCTAGCCAAGAGCCATTTAATATCAAGAAGTAATATTCCTTCCCAGAAAAGTAAAAGTGGAGAGACAGAACTGGTAAGAAAGGAACAACAACAACAAAAAAAAATTAGATAATTTGAAAGTGACTGACATTTGTTTTGTATTTAGGATTTCCTTTTTTTTGCAAGTTTTAGTTTTTGGCATATATATATATATATATATATATAGCCAAGACTAGTAGTTTCCAACTACTTGTTTTCTATGCATTATTTTATGTGTTCAAAGTGTGATTTAAAGATCTGAACTACTGAGAGTTCAACACTTAGAGGATAAACCCATTGTCTCTGAGTAAATTATGGCCCTGTAAGTCCAAGCAGAGGTGAGAAGATCAAAGGTCACCTTTTTCTTGTACTTGATTGTGTAAGATATAGATTGCCCACCTCTACTATTTTCACTCAGCACTATAAGGTCATGATGGGACAGAATGTCCTTCATTCTTTAAAGAAGAATAGGGGAAGTGGAGTAAGTCATCTATAGTAATTTATAGGAACATAAGAATGGTTGTTACTGGCTGTGTAAAATGGAAATAGTATCAAAATTGGCACATTAGAATCGAGTGCTATCTGAGACTTGCATTGCTTCAGATATTTTGTTCTCATATATGGAACTCTGAACAACCCTGCTCATAAAGCCTCTGAATCCTTAGGGACTGGAGTCAATCTTATGCCAATAGGCTACTTTATCTGTTTATGGAAATATTTAAATTTGCCATACTTAATATTTGCCTAGTGCTGCCTTTCTTTTATTATATAAAAGAATATTGAAAATAAAGGGAGAAATCTTGGATTGCTAAGCTTTTGGCTGCTGGAAGACTAGTGTTAGACAAAGAGGGGCTGACTGATGTCGGAATGGGGTATCTTTACAGTCTCAGTTCTGCAATACTACAGAACTTAAGGGACTCATTTCCTGCTAAATAACCTAAGTTGGAATCATTTACATGAAAGAAGTATATCACTCATTTTCCTTACTCTGGCTTTTATCCTACCATATCAATAAAATGAAAGTTTAGGCAAGTTAATCTCTGAATTCCCTACTAGAGCTAAGACTTAAAATTTCCCTTTTAGCATAAATTCAGCTTATCTAGTAGTTACTATGTGCTTCATTCTACTCTCCCTTTTTGAAACAGATTTTTAATCAAGTACCTGTTCTTATTTATCTATACTAATGTAAGGTGATTGATTCCCCCCCCCCCCCATTTATTTATTTATTTTGGTACTGGGGATTGAACCCACGGCACTTTATCACTGAGCCACATCCCCAGACCTTTTTATTTTTTATTTTGGGTCAGGGTCTTGCTAAATTACCTAGGGCCTCACTAAATTGCTAAGGCTGGCTCTGTACTGTGTTTCTCCTGCCTCAGCCTCCTCAGCCACTGGGATTGCAAGTATGTGCCACCACACTTGGCAGATGATTGATTTTCTATATTTATTTGAAAAGAAAGGCTAGAACTGAATTAGATTACTGTATTTATATACTTTCTCTGTTCTATTAAAA